CTGACGTGACATGTTCGTACGAACCCTTTGTACGAACAAAAGTAAGAGAAATTTAGGATAAGAATACGAACATGTTCTTGCATGAGGCCCACTGAATCCAGATTTGAACTTATTGTAGTATTTATTGTAGTAGATCTAATAATAGATGGTACACACAACGATATTTAACTTTACAACCTGAAAGCTGCTTCAGCATCATCAACAGGGATCATTTAGTGTTTTTGTAAACTAATAAAATGTGAAAAAAACAACATTTTTATGAACCTTGTTGCTGCTTCTGTAATAATGTAAACGTATGAAATGAATCCTTTTTCTTCTWTAAGCTCATCTTTGTTGGCAGCCAGATTGTGAGATGGATGTGTTCATGTGTTGTTAACACCACACCCATAGCTCAGCATTACTAAAACCAACTCCGTTAGAGCCATTTGTGTAATTCCTAAAGTCAAGTAGATGTGGCGGCCATCTTTGGTGGTGGGTGGTAAAAATGCATGTGAACTGCTGAAGCCCTGCAGTAACATACAGACTGTCTGATGTGTTTGAGGGTTTGTTGTGCTTGTGAAAGGATGAGAGTCACATGAACACAAGCTTGGCTGCAGCCTGGTRTCTGTGGGTGGATGAGATCCTGTGTGTGGGAGGAAGTAGGTGGGTGGGAGAGAGAGTCAGGAGTCAGGTTCTGCCTCGAACCGTTGCTGATAAAATCAGATTTTCAGCCACCAACACTTGTGAATAAACCTAGCTTCAGTCCTTCCACGTGTGTCAGGCTGCATTCTGATGTCTTTGTGTTTTCAACTTCTCCTCTGGAAGTCTTTGTTTGACACCCACCCTCCCTGCCTCACCACTTTCAGCGTGCATCTTCTCTTTCTCTGACTCATTTGCATTTCTTCCGCTTCCTCATTACAAAAAAAAAAAAAAAAAACCACAAAAAAAGGTTCCTGTCAGAGAAGTGTGAGAGCAGCTCAGATTGGAGAGAAGCCTCAGCAGATCCAGTGAGGATGGGGCTGTTCAGTGCAGGAGGCTGGATACCTGATCGGAGGTGAGTTCAATCTGCTTGCTGCACTGTCTCAGCTGAACTCTTGCTCCTGAGTTTCAGTACAGCATGTTCTGCTTATTGTTTTTCATGTTGTCTCTTATGGAAGCATAGCTACACGTTTTACTCTAATCAGTTTCCACTTATCGAGYTTTAGTTCATCTTTTTATTATTTATTAGAACCATCCAAAATCTTGTTAGAGGGTCTGTCTTTGTTGACATTTTAAAGCAGTTATAGTTACAGATTTCTTTGTAAACTTCTCTATAATGTCTAAAAGTGCTTTTCTGTGAAACCAAACAAAACAAAATGACATCTACTCACATGGCTGTGAGGAAGTTCCAGCACAGCTAAGCACAGAGTCTAATGGAAAAGTAAATAAATGTGYACCACGCTCATTCTGTGTGCTGACAGCTCAGCCCAACATGATGAGAGGCAAACTTCCCCCAGAACACCAGTGTGCAGCGTGGGCGTGCTCACACTGCACACCAACCACCATGTGTGCTGTGTACCAGCTGCACTTCTGTGCTTCAGAATGCTCCGACTAACCAGCAGCGTTAATTAAAGTACCTGTAACAGACTGTATGTTAATGTTCATGTAACAGACTGACTGTATGTTAATGTTCCTGTAACAGACTGACTGTATGTTAATGTTC